ACGACGCGCGGCAGCGCTTCTGCATGTACTGCTCGTTCTTGAAGCACTCACCGCTCTTCGCCCACGTCTCGCAGTTCGAGTCCTCGTCCACGCACCCGGGATCACCGCCCCTGACCGCGCCTCGCCGCGCCGCCTCAGGCACCTCGATGCCGTCGCGGTCGAGCGCCGCAATCACCGCCTCGTGCGCAGACTTTCCGCGTGCGCCCGCGGAGCCGTCGCCCTGGCCGGCGACCGCGCCCTCTCTCCGCTCCGGCGGAGGCTGCAGCGGGTTTGAGAGCCAGCCCGGCAGAATCGTTGCCGCGAGCGCGCTCGAGACTGCCGCCGCGACCGCGATGGTGGTAAAGTGCTTGTCGGCCTTGCGCTTCGCCGACGGCGGCTTGTGCTGCTGCGCCTTGCTGCCGCCCTTGGATTTGCCCATGCGGAGCACACTCCGCTCGACTTCCCTACAGCGGCAAACTACCTGTAGCCTGCGTAATTTTTTTCTTTCTCTTGTCCCCTTTTTTCGTGTCGAAACGGGTAGTTTCTACGGAAGTGGGCGCAATAAGTCGCTTCATGTCCGTGTGTGTGCTCCCGAGGAGTGTGGACAGGCGTTGCAGGACGCGCCGCGCCGCCGCGGGGCTCACGTGCGGACCGCCGTGAAGCGGGTTGTTTGACTAATGTCGCACATGTTGGGAGACTGATGGGTCAAAAGCATAGATCGTCAATCGACGCGTCGCGCCTTTGCCGATCCGCATAGTGAGGTTCTTGGGTGGCGCGCCCCAGCGGTCTCGGGCACCGCACCCGTGCTGCCACAAAGCACAATGTGCTGCCACAAAGCACCACTAGCGATCACGCGCGGAGGGCGTAGTGAAGTGCTGGGGCGCTCACTGTGTGTTATTCGGGTGGGGATCCATCAGTGGTAAGCGGCTTTAGTCACAGATCCAAGCTCAGACGTCACACCAACACCACAAACACGCTCACTTCGCCGCTGCTGTAGATGGGCCTCCGGGGGCCCATGCTACGTCGAAGCACAGACCCGATCTCGGCACTCACGGGCTGCCACGCGCCCGCGCGCGGCGCGGGCCGCATCGCCCATGCCCCCGGGTCACCAACCCCGCCTCTCGGCCCTCTCGGCCCTCAGGAGCGTGCGGGAGACCGGCGAGGGGCGCGCCGCGCGCCGCCTGCAGAGCCGCCAGAGGCATTGTGTCGCCTCCGCTGGCGGGGTTCCCGCGCGCCGCGCCCGCCCGCGCCCGCGCCCGCCCACGCCGCGCCCGCGGGCTCCGGATGCGCCGCGCTCCTTCTCCTTCTTCTCGATGGCAGTCCGCGCGTGCTTTTGTCGACGGGTCGGCGGCGTGGTCGAGGGGAAGGTCGCCGGCGGCCGCAACTCTGCCGCCGTCGCTCCGCCGGCTCTGACCGAGTATCGGGCGTTGAGGGCGGCGGCGCAAAGCGGGTCTGGCGCATCCATCGCCACGAGCCTCGCGGCCGCGGTCGTGGCACACCTGGTGGCGGCTCTCGAGGCCGTCTCTACGGCGCTCGACACCGTGTGAGGTCGCCGGCGGCCGCACCTCTGCCGCCATCGCTCCGCAGGCTCTAACCGAGTATCGGGCGTTGAGGGCGGCGGCGCAAAGCGGGTCTGGTGCGCCACGGCCACCACCCTTGCCACCGCCCTTGCCGCCGCCCTTGCCACCCTTTGCCGCCTTGCCTCCGCCGCGGGCGGCGGTGGGAGCGGCCTGCTGGGCTAGCATGTTGTCCGTGGCTGTGGACGGGCACGTGGAACGTCAATTCATGTTCGAACGGCCTCCGGGATCAAAC